TGGTACGTGAGGACGAAGGGGATTCTGTTTTGGTTGTTATTGCGGGAGGGGGTGTGAGGGATGAGTTGCGGGAAATGTGGGAGACACAGTCGAGGGCGTTCTCGACCACTGAGGGGGGGATGTTGCGGTCCTTGAAAAACGAGGACATCTGAGATGTTCGGGAGTGGAATGTCTCATCCTGGGAGCAGATGCGGCAGAGGCAAAGGAATTGGGAATAGGGGATGGCATTTTTGCAGGAAGGTGGGTAGGAGGAGGTGTATTCTAGGTAGCTGTGGGAGTCGGTGGGCTTGAAATGGATATCGGTTTCCAGGTGGTTGCCAGAGATGGAAACAGAGAGGTCCAGGAAGGAGAGGGAGGTATCAGAGATGGTCCAGGTGAACTTAAGGTTGGGGTGTAGGTTGTTGTTTCATGGCATGGGCAACATTTGTGGCCATCCCCACTTTCCCTGGAAAAAATGACACTCGAACACTTAATGGATATTTGCAGCCATAGTGATGTAAATGCACCCACTGTTCTGTTGGGAAGGGAATTCCAGGATTGTGATCCAGTGATGCTGAAGGAATGGCAATATATTTCCAAGTCAGGATGGAGCATGGCTTGGAGAGGAACTTGCTGGTAGTAGTGTTCCCATAGATTTGCTATCCTTGTCCTTCTAGGTGGAAAGGTTAATCGGTTTGGAAGGGACTATTGAAGGAGCATTGTCGCAGGTGGTAAACTGCTGTTTGTGGAGGGAGCAAATGTTGAATGTGGTGGAAGGGGTACCAGTGAAGTGGGTTGGTTTGCTTTGGATGAGTTCAAGCTTCTTGAATGTTATAGGATCTAACCCACTCATCCAGACCAGTGGAGAGTATTCCTTTTTTCTCTTGTCGGTGGTGAACAAGCTTTAAGGAGTCAAGCATTGAATTACAAAGGTGACCCAGTTAACTTTCCTGACAATTGTATCCCCTGAGATGGTGATACAGGGACATTAATTCTTTTTTGTTGAAGATTGGTGAGGCATCGTCTGGAATACTGTGTCCTGTTCTTGTCACCCAGTTATAGGAAGGATATTATCAAGCCAGAGAAGACTCAGAAGAGATTTACGAGGATGTTGCCATTTCTGGAAGGTTTGAGTTATAAAGAAAGGCTGGATAGACAAGGACTTGTTTCGCTGGAGTGTAGGAAGTTGAGAGGCAACCTTATAGAAGTTTATAAAATGATGAGGGGTATAGATAGCGTTAAAGGTAGTTGTCTTTTTTCTAGGATGGGGTATTTCAAGACTAGGGTGCCCATTCTTAAAGTGAGAAGAGAAAGATTTAAAAAATACATGAGGGTCAAATTTTTTACTCAGAGGGTGGTCTGCGTGTGGAATGAACTTTCTGAGGAAGTGGTGGATTTGGGAACAATTACAATGTTTAAAAGACTTTTGAATAAGTACATGAATAAGAAAAGTTTGGAGGGATATGGGCCAGGAACAGGCAGGAGGGACTAGTTTAGTTTGGGATTATGTTCGGCATGGACTAGTTGGACCAAAGGGGTTGTTTCCATGCTGTATGACTCTATGGTGCTATGGCTTTTGTCTGGCATTTGGGTGATGTAAATGTTGCTTCCATTTATCAGTCCAATGCAAATGGACACACACTGCTTTAGCATCTGAAGTTCATCACTGTGAAATAGCAGAGAAACTGGTGTTGTCCTCCATCAAGTACAGAGGAGGTTTGGGTGTTAAAATTAGGAAAGGTTTCAATACAACAAATAAGGAACAACTTTTCCAGACCATGAGAAGAGTGATAATCCAAGGTCACAGATTTAAGATGCTTGATGAAAGACCAAAGGGTAGATGAGATATTTTTGGCACACAGCAACTTGTTATGATCTGGATTGTACTGCCTGAAAGAGTCTTTGAGATGAATTCAGTGGTAAATTTCAAAAGGGAATTGGACAAAAACTTGAAAAGGAAAAGAAATTACAGGGCTTGAGGAAAAAGAATCTTGAAGTGTAACTAATTGAAAGCTCTTTCAAAGAGCTGGCACTAACATAATGGTCCCAATGAACTATGACCTTCATCTGTGCATTGTATGTTGCATTGAAATATTTTCAATTCAATAGCGATCCATTATATTTCTCAATGATGTGATGGAAACAAGCAATGTTCAAAGTGAAAATGTCCCTTATGTTCACATTCAGAGAAAGGAGTTGCACTTATATAGTGCCTTTCAGAACATCCCAAAGTGCTTCAAAGTCAACAATTTCCTTTTTGAAGTGTAGTCATTGGTGTAATGTAGGAAACATAGGTCAGTTTTCTTTCACAGACAGCACTGAGATAACACATTGGCAGTCTGACTTCACAGATTTTAGTGGAGATGGAATTATTGAGGAGAATATAAGGCCATAAGATAAGAACATAAGATGTAGGAGCAGAAGTACACCATTCAGCCCATAGAGTCTGCTTTGCAGTTCGAGGGGCTCATTGTTAACACAGAACAGTAATGCACAGGAAGAGGCCCTTCAGCCCACCATATCTGTGCCAAACATGTTCACATTCTAAGCTAATACCATCTGCTTACACATGGACCATATCCCTGTATTCCCTGCCTGTTCATGTGTCTGTCTAAATGCCTCTTAAATGTTGCTATCATTTCTGGTTCTACTACCTCATCTGGCAGTGCTTTCCAGACACCTACCACCCTCTGTGTAAAAAAAAACTTGCCTTGCACATCTCCTTTAAACTTTCTCCCTGTCACTTTAAAATTATACCCCTAGCATTTGATATTTCCACCCTGGGAAATAAAGACTCCAACTCTCCATCCCTCATGCAATTTTATATAGGTTGCCCCTCAGTCTTCAACATGTTGGGTGATCTGATGATCCTTGGCTCCACTTTCCTGCCTTTTCCCCAGAACTCTTGGTTCCGTTCCTGATGAAAAACGTATGTCAGCCTTGAAGATAATTACTCACCCAGCCTTAGCAGCCCTCTGCAATAAAAAAAAATTCCAGATTTACAACACTTTGGGAGAAGAAATTCCTCCTTATATCTGTCTTAAATGTGCAACCCCTTATTCTGAAATTATGCTCTCTGGTCTTACACTTTGCCACAAAGGGAAACAACGTCTCCACATCTACCCTGTCAGTACTCTAAGACGCCTGTATTTTTCAATTAGGTTGTCTCTCATTCTTCTAAATTCCAATGAGTACAGTACAGGGAACTATCAGGGAACGCATCTGTTCACCTTTGACTGATATGAAAGAATTAAAGTTTTGCCTCAGGTTGGAGAGTCCAAAACTAGAGGGCATAAGTTTAAGGGATAGTAGGAACTGCAGATGCTGGAGACTCTGAGATACCAAGGTGTAGACATGGATGAACACAGCAGGCCAAGCAGCATCAGAGGAGCAGGAAGGCTGATGTTTCAGGCCTAGACCCTTCTTCAGAAATGGGGCATAAGTTTAAGGTGAGAAGAGAAAGATTTAAAAGGGACCTAAGGGACAATTTTTTTCACGCAGTGGGTGATGCGTGAAAGGAACGAGCTGCCAGAGGAAGTGGCGGAGACTGGAACAATTACAATATTTAAAAGACATCGGATGGGTACATGAATAGGAAGGGGTTAGTGGGATACGGGCCAAAGGCTGGCAAATGGGACTAGATTAATTTCGGATATCTGGTCGGCATGGACGAGTTAGACTGAAGAGTCTGTTT